CATTTTCACAATAGACATTTATACACCATTGGATAGAGAATTTAAAGGGCTACATTTTGGACTATTTATTTTTTAAAACACTCGAAATCGACTTTTTGGCCTAATGTCCGCTTAGTTGCCCACTGTGTACTCCTCTGACGACTATGATGAGTGTGTACTACAACAACCATTGTCAATAGAATATCCTTTTGGATCACAGCTATCAGTCGAGTATGCTGATAATTCAAACACCCAAACACAAGTTAAAATTAACAATAAAAACAGAAAGATCCTTATGACTTTGATAACGAATAAAGCAAGTTCATTCCATAATTCTAAAGACTTATCGAGCTGTTGAATATTCACAAAACCATGTGAGAACACAGAACTCAATTGGCAGTGACGGACAATTAATCCGCTAGTTTTCTTCCTCTTTTTTTATTGAATGAAAACCTTTTGTAGTTTCTAAATAGAGAGAAATTGCGCGCTAACAAAATCATATAAAGGATCTCATATTTGTATGAGATCAGATCAGCTCATTAGGTTTGTATCTTTTCACACTTCTTGCTTTTATCTATTTACATTTCTTGCCTTTTTTTCTAAAGCTTTTCTATAATAACCATAAATCCAATATCAGTAACAAGAGCTCGAACGAAAAATACAGCAAAAACTTCTCCAGAATAAGTTTCGACTTTGGTACTTCTGACATGTAGCTTGTATATAATTGTTGTAAAGCAATTGAGAAAAAGTATATATTGTACACGGTCTCTATAACACAAGGAATAAGCCTCTTCAAATACGAACAAGTACGGTAAGTACAATATAACATAGCAAAAAGATACCTCGTTTCGCATGTGTTCTAGTCCTTTATTCTGATTATTAATATATTAAATACCTGTTTTTGTCCTCTTTCTGTACGTGTCAATGTCCACGTACCGAATATCTTTGAAAAAGACACGTATCATTCTTTTTGTTATGTTCCGAATCTCTCCAAATGCTAGAATCAATTACTGAGAATGTGAAAAAATGTTTTAAACAAACAATCACATGAAATGCTACCTCTTAGCAATACAGAATATCCAAACACTCCAACAATTTACCAAAAAATTATTGCTCGCTCTTCTTTATGCACTACTACAGAATGAACCATTAACGTTCAACGTTGTTACAACAACAAACTTCACTCATTATCGATCTCGACAATTACCACTCATCCATTCTCCTGATTAATACATTAAATATCTTTCACGAAGACAGTTTTATTTTATTGATTAACTACAAACTCTCGAAAATCAGTTTAAAAAATTCGCGGCGTAGAGGTGCAGATTAACCAATAGCAAAAATTAGACTGTAAAAGCGATCACGAAAGCGAAAAAGTATGTCAAGATCAGTGACTCTGTATCTATGATATGTGGATGATAAAGAAAGAACGTAACCACATGATCATAAAATAATGATTCATAACAAAGAATAAAATTTTATATTCACCCTCGTACTATTTCTTTCTTTCCGACTACATATTACAGATTTTTCTTAGTGTCCTATGTGTCCTTTATTTATCATGCGTTAGACATCCAGCAAATAGATAGTAAGGAGAGGAGGAAAGAAAAAAAAGACGATTGTTAAAGGAGAAAGACTGTACTATTATGTTAAACGAGAAAAAGAAACATTCAAAAGAAGAACAGGTAAAACAAGAAAGCAATATGACAGAATTTCTCTTTTTTCTCTTCTTTACTTCTCTGGTTGTACGTAAGTATAAGAGTACAGGTCCAACGTTTGCTATAAATAAGAGAGAAAAAAAATACAAAAAATACAAAACTTTCAGAATCAATTGTTCAAAGAGACTAACAAAAAGAGACATCGGTATCTACAGTTGATTGTGTTATTATTTTCGAAAGAAGATCGTCAAAATGGATTCATTAGAATTTAATATTGATTTATCAGACAAAGAAGATGTTCCGATATCACCATCAGTTTGCGAAGAATCAAAGTTGTCATTAATAAGAACAAATGATGATATAGCTGTTGTTGGTGTTGCATGTCGTTTTCCAGGTGGAAGTAATTCAATTGATGAATTTTGGTCCAATTTAGTTGAACAACATGATTGTGTTCGACCAGTTCTCAATGATCGATGGAATGCTGATTATTATACGGACCCATTATCAAATGAACTTCATTTACTAGCTAAAATCCCATCGTCTCGTTGTGGTTGGATTGATTTTGTTGGTGAATTTGACTACGAAACATTTTCAATTAGTAAACGTGAAGCTGAAAATATGGATCCACAACAAAAACTTTTATTGGAAGTAACTCTACAAGCACTTGAAGATAGTGGAATGCAATATGCGGGATCAAAAACTGGTGTTTATGTTGGTATTGGACAAGCTGAGCAATTCGAGCTGACTACAGCTGATTTAGAAAGTATAAATGCATATAGTATCACCGGATCAGCATTATCAATACCTTCAAATCGTTTAAGTTATTGTTTTGATCTGCGAGGACCATCAATGTCCGTTGATACAGCTTGTTCATCGAGTATGACTGCATTTCATTTAGCTTGTCAAGCTATTCAAGATGGTGCATGTTCAGCAGCTGTTGTCGCTGGTGTTAATATAATAATAAATCCGTCGACTATGATACAATTTTCACAATTAGGTGTTTTATCACCCGATGGAATGTGTCAGTCATTCAGTAATAAAGCAAATGGATATGTTCGATCAGAAGGTTGCGGCGTTATTATTATTAAACCAATGAAACAAGCTCTGACTGATAATGATCATATTTATTGCCGTATCAGAGGTTCGGCAATTAATCAGGATGGTCATCAATCTCCATCGTTAACAATGCCAAGTTCACAGGCACAAATTGAAGTTTTTCGAATGGCTTGTAAAAATGCAAAAGTTAATCCAACTGAAATATTCTATGCTGAAGCGCATGCGACAGGTACCAGAGTCGGCGATCCAATTGAAGGTAAAGAGACTCTTCTCTTTTTTTCACAGAAATATCTACTTACTTTTTTCTTTTTCACATTTTAAAGCAAATGCAATTGGGACAGTTTTTGGCCGAGAACAATCTTATTTACGTATTGGTTCAGTTAAATCAAATGTTGGTCATTTAGAAACAGCAAGTTTTATGACTGGTTTATTGAAATGTATTTTGATGCTCGAACATCAACAATTAATACCTAATTTACATTTTACGAAAGGTGAAGGCAATCCAGATATCAAGTTTGAACAATATAATCTGTCGGTTCAAACAGAAATCGAAAAATTTGAAAATGATGAAGAATTAATGATGGTTTCAAGTTTTGGTTTTGGTGGTGCTAACGGCTGTGCAATTATTCAAGGATATAAACGACCTTCAGAACAAGCACAAATACTTCCTTCTTTACCACAATTATTTCTGGTTTCTGCTTCAACACCACTTGCTCTGGAGACTCGAATTCAAGAACTAAAGTCATCATCAAAAATATTTCATTCACCAGCTGCGATATCACACACACTATATAACCGTTCATTACATCGTCTCGCTGCATTTGCGATCGATGAACAACTCGATGAAAACACAACATTTGTACCTATTAGAAAATGTGTTGATCCACCACTGGCTTGTATCTGGGTGTTTGCCGGTCAAGGTAAGAGTTTTACTAACTAGCCTTTGGTCGAAAATATAGAGAATCGATGTTAATGAAAAAAACGTAGGTAGTGTTTTTCGCCATATTTATTTCACTCGTTAAGGTCCACAACATCAAAAAATGGGCAAAATCCTCTATTCAAATGTTGAAAGTTTTCGTTGTTCAATTGATGCATCTGATTTAATTTATCGTGAATGTTCTGGTCATAGTCTGGTTAATGATATAGGACTATTCGGTTCAACGGACGGATCAAATCCAATGGCTGTTTATGAAATAGCATATACATTACCTGCTCTTGTCTTTTTACAAATTGGACTCGTTGATATGTATCGTCATTTAGGTGTTCCATGTGCAGCAGTATTCGGACACTCTTTTGGTGAAATGGCAGCAGGTTATGCTGCAAATATTTGCACGAGAAAACAATATATTCAAACAGCATATCATCGTGCTCGTATCTTACGACAAGTCGATGGTTGTGGCGCAATGTTAGCAGTCAGTTGTTCCAGCGAACATATTCAACCGCTATTAGAAACACATGAACAGGTATGGATTGCAGCTTACAATGGTCCAAATTCATTAACATTAGGAGGTATTAAAGAATCAATAACGAGTATTTCAAATGAATTATCAAAACAAAATATATTTAATCGAATATTGAAAATAAACAGCGCATATCATACACCGCTTATGGCATCTGTTCGTTCAGAAGCCCTATCTGTGTTTAAACAAACACTTGCCGGACATTCAACACCAACGATTCCGTATTGTAGTACGGTTACTGGGCAATGGAAAAATTCTGATTTTGATGAAAATTATACATTTGATGGAATTGAGAGTAAGTATTAGAGATTTTCTGATATTTGCAAGTGACTGACCTTTTTTATAGGTCCAGTTTTATTCGATGTAGCCGTTCGACAATGTTTGGAACGATTTGGTGTCGATACGACTGTCTTCCTAGAATTATCAGCACATCCTGTTCTAAGTTCATATTTAACTGAAAATGGTTCAAAGTATAATTTATGTGCACTACATCGTCAACAATCAGAAATTGAAACAACATTAAAAATTCTTGCTAATTTACGTATTTATGGATACTCACCCGCACAAGCTAATATTTCTAAAATATATTCTTCGATAATATCTCCGTCACGTATTCCACATTATTCGCTTTATCCGTTTCAGCGTCAATATTGTGTTAAAGAAGATCTGGGGCACCGTCTTCAACGAACGATTCCCATTTGGCATAGTTTAGCTGGCCGTCCATTTGCTCATCCACATCCAACTTTCCAGACAAAGTTATGTTTGAAGTCATATGTTTGGATTGAAGATCATCGTGTTCAAGGTCCAGCAGTATTTCCAGCAGCTGGCTATATTGAAATTTGTATGGAAGTATTTAACTGTATCAGTTTAACAAATATTTATATTGAAAAAGCATTGATTCTCCCATCTGATCCGAATATTTATCGAACAGTAAGAATTGTTCTTGATGAAAATAATCAATCTCAGGTTTCTATGTATTCAAAATTAAATGAATATGATTCGGGAGATTGGATTAAACACATGAAAGCTTCAAAAGGAGACTCGTCGTCTTCTTCTACACAATTACCAGAATGGTCAAAGAATATCAAATCACGTTGTTCTTTGGGTATCTTTGAAGAAAAAGATGTTTATGGACGTTTTTCAAGTGTTGGTTTAGATTACGGACCATATTTTCAATGTATACGAACTCTCTATCAAGGTGATAATGAAGCATATGCACATTTAAATATTTCTCATTTGCTAAACCCATTGTCTAACTCAAAACAATCAAGATTTTATATTCATCCAGCAATATTAGATTGTACATTTCAAGTTTTCTTAGGTACACAACGTTATTTTCATACAGCGTATGTTCCAACATTTATTAAACGAATTGAATGGAGAATTGAGACAAGTGAATTATCAAATGATTTATATGTCTATGCTAGAACAACAAATACTCATTCTAAACAAGTTTTAACAGGGGACATTTTCGTTGTTGACGAACAACAACGTCTGATCGGCATAATTATTGGGTTTGAGGCTACAGCATTAGGTCAATCGAATCAACCACCACCACTCTATACTCTTCATTATCAAAGTGTTGAAACACCATTAATAACAACAACAAAATCACAGTTTAATATAATAGAAATGCCAACACTTATTAAAGAACAAGAAACTCTATTTGATGATGCATGTTTAGCATATATCGCTGCATTTCTCTCCTCAACTTCATTTGATTTGGAAACAATTGAAAAATGGCCTAATCATCGTCAACGTTATTGGCAATGGTTACATTCGACAATAAAATCTAAAATAATTTCACCTGATTCAATAGATTTAATTGATAATGATCAGTGTAAAGCACTTCATTATGAAGCACAAGCAATTCATCGTGCTGGAAAGAATCTGCATCTTCTTCTTACTGATAGTTTTGCTGTACAAAATATATTCTTTGCTGAAAATGATTCATTTATGGCTGATCTCTATTCCAAATCATTGACATGTCAACCTTATACTAATATGCTTGCTCAAAAACTCGTTGATCAATTTAAAATGATAGAAGAACAACAACCTAATGAATCATCACGTGTTTTCTCAATTTTAGAATTAGGTGCTGGTACCGGTGCTCTTACTTCGATTATTCTGGATAAATTGTATCAACAAACATCTATCATTCAAGAAAATCGGTTAATTTATGTTTTTACCGATGTTAGTGAAAAATTTCTATCGGATGCGAAAAAACATTTTTCAACAGTCTATCCCTGTATTCAATATCAACTGTGTGATCTTGATTTAGATTTCGCAAAACAAAAATTAAACATGTATTCATTTGATGTTGTTTGTGCATTTGATGTTCTTCATGCTGCACAAGATTTAAAATTGTGTTTAAATCGTATCCAACAGTTATTGAAACCCAATGGTTATCTTCTGTGTATTGAATTAACTCGACCATGGATATGGATTCAAGTCTTTTTCGGTTTATTTGCTGGTTGGTGGCATTTTTCAGATACAACAATAAGATCAACATGTTTTCTCGCGGTTGACCAATGGTATCAATTGTTAACTGAATCAGGATTTCAACATGTTCAAATTGAAAATGAAGGACAACCAGAATTTTGTCATTCGTTATTGAGTGCGAGAGGTCCAGATTGGACTATTACTCGAACATCTTCTTCTAATAGTACGATATTCGATACGACAGAAGCTACTGTCATTAATGTTAATTCATACATGGAAAAACTCTTACAATTAGCTCAGTCACTGCTTATAGTAACAGAACCAACAACTGTCTTTGTTATTACTTCAACAACTACTCCACCGATTGGTGCAACGTTTACTGGATTCAGTCGAGTCTGGGCAAATGAAGCTACACAACATACAATTTGTTCTATTCAATTCGATTTACCGGAATTACAGGAAAAACAAATGTGGTTAAGTCGTATTCAAACCATTGTCGAAAACACCCGTGAACGTGAATTTATTATTCGTCAACATGTAATTACTGTACCACGACATATTCCTCGGCGTTTAATAAATGCAATTAAAGCGACTGATGGTCAACAAGGTATGTAAAATTAATCTCAATTTCTTTATTCCCTTTTCTGAAAGAAAGGGTTATATCGCAGAAAATACCACGGAGAAAAACGCATAATTCGTTTATCTGTCTGTTTGTCCAAGCCAATCAGAAACGAGCAATGGCAGAGAGAGGGCGCTATGCCTCGAACAACACATCACCATGCCAGAAGTCGTGCGTAAATCTTGACCAAAGGTAATCGGAGGTGGGAAATTCGAATCTACTATCAGTTGTAGTAACGCTGAAGTAGAGAGAGATAGGAAACTATTTTCAAAAATAGGCGCAGCTGGTTTTCTAACTCACATTAACAGTTCTCATAGAGAAATGTTCCAACTATCGACTGCTAAGATAGAGACATGTTCAAGTTGTCTACCGATGAAAATCGAATGATTTTATCCTTTGTTGTTGCTACGTAAATCAAGTAATACGTGTTAGACGTTCCACCTTCAGTGTTTCGTTTCATTTCCTTTTCTCCTGTTTTTTTCTTTCAGACTTGATTTTTCTGCTTCTTTCACCATTTTAACGTACATAAAAGAAAATAAAGGATACAAATTCAACGTCAGTTTTTTTGTAAAACATGGATACAGATACTCGAAATAAGAAAACGAATTCAGTACAACACTTTGAATGAATTTCAAAAAACGCTTTTTATAAAAAATGATTTCAATCCGACGGTGACATTCCATACACTTCGGCACAATGTACTCTACCATCAGACATCCGCTTAGTAGCTCGAATTTTCGAATTTTTCATCGATAATCCTCTTATTGTTAATCAAAGAATTTTTCGCGAGCAGCCCAAATTTAATGGGCTAAATCGTAAACGATAATAAACCATGGCATGAGTTGGTTAAGTAGAAGTAAACGTTGGTGCAGCTAGCCGTGAGTGGCGTAGGGCTGTGACAGTTACCATTATCGTTACAGTAACTGTAATTGCTGGTCGGTTACCATTCTTTGTAACGGTAACGTGCAAGCAGTTACCGTACAAGTAACGGTAACGACCAGTTACAAGTAACGGTAACGACCAGTTACAAGTAACGGTAACTGCTTATCCGTTACCGTTACCAGGAACGGGAACTGTTCAGCAGTTACCGTTACCGGGTAACGGTGGTAACGGTAACTGGTAACTGTCACAGCCCTAGAGTGGCGTCGACGAACGACTAGGCGCTGATCTGAAATGTTCACCGAAAGTATCGTTCAGACAGGGCTGAAATGGGTACAGAAATTGTGAACCGGTTTCGTCCAGCCGGTTGAAGCTATGTCTGAAGCTGGCGAAAAACCGCTGAAGTTTTTCTGTATTTCGGCTTTGGAAAACAATTTTTCTGCGGAAATAAAACGTTTTGAGAGTACATTTGAAGGAAAACATCACTTAACGATTTTTTCTACCAAAACTGTCTCCATGCAAATAAAAAAGCGCAGATATTTCGTGGTCGAAGCTAAAGAGAAGGTGAATTCGAAAAACGAACTTTGATGATAACTGCTGTGAAAATAATATGAACTTGCTTGCATGCTTATTATAAAAACAAAGGTTAGACAAAAAGAAAAACAGATAACATTCCTTTGGATTTTCTTTCCTACGTTAAAACATAAATATTGATTTTCACGGCTACCATCTGGCCCTGTTTCAGAGCTATAAACAGCATAGCATTCAACTCTCTGTCTTAAACAGAATCAGACAATATACTAGAGTGCAGAGTTATATCAACAACTAAAATACTAATTTCTCAACCAGTAAGAACTAGTTAGGTCCAATACTAGTCGTCTACTAGTAATATGTTGTGTGCAACCCCGAGGAAATAAATGATTCACTTTGGCTTTGCTTTCACCATCCGTTACATGTGCGTTACCTGGTCTAGTGGATTATTATCCTGTTTCGCGTCACCGACATTCTCTTGAACGATGACTAAAAACTGATCGATTGAGCGTCATACTATTTATTCTGAGGAGAAACAAAAATGGATCGAAAAGAACATTTTCAGAATTTGGAATAGTTGAACTACCGGTTTCTAACGGCCTGGTAAACTTTCTCAGCCAGGACCGGTTCCAGCCCTGGTTTCAGGGATGATCCGCAGGAAATGGGAGATCGTTTTGAACTGTACCAGGCGTTTCAGTTAAGAAGGAATTTCAACAGAATGCCGATTTTCCAGAAAACACGATGAAATTTCAACTCTGATAAAGAAGTCACACACAAGCTACAGTAATGGGATCTGATAATTGCAGTCGTTAGAGCAAAAACGGAAACAATTTAAAAGGAGAACAAAAATGGAGGGACTGAATCCCAAGAATATTGGAGTATGGGTTTGATTCAATCGAGTAATCGAGTCAGTTTTAACTTTTCGGGTCATTTTTAAATATGACCAAAACTGTCCATTAAACCAAAACTGTCCATTATTACACTTAAAGTATGAAGTTTCATATAAAATGCTCAACTTGACGTGCTCTTTCATTCTATGTAGAGCCAGTGTAGGTAAATGTGCACACTTTTCGATTTTTCTCAGAAAACCAAGAATAGCTCTCTCATTTCTTGTCGGACGAAAACATTTCCGTCACGGCGGAGGTAGAGAAAACATCTATCTACAGGCTTATCTTTTCTGATTTTCAAAATCTTATCGGGATCACCTTCTGCAGCAGTTTTCTCTAGACCCCCAGAGTGCACATCGTGATGCACTGATTTTGCTCACTCTGAGACAAATCGTAGAATCATCATTTGCATGATTTATATTATGAAAGTTCAATAAAAATGTTCTATCGACTTCATAGCAGAATCTCTATGCGAATTCTCACTAGGTATGAAATCGTTACAGCTGTTCTTCGAAGAAGCACATCTAGAAAAAGAATGAATAGATGTTATGTGGACCGTTATAACTAGCTGCTCTTTTAGGAAGAAAACTTTATCCTAACCAGAATACTTTTGATTTCCTGCGAACGTGCTCATCTCATAGTTAAATGCTCACTTGATCAGCTTTCAGAATTTATACTTTGAGACTGCGTAGACTTAGAGATAAACATTCGTTTCTACAACTGGATACTAGCAAACACTCATTAAGGTAAACGTCCGCGGAGCTCTGAACCGAGCACGCGTCCAGTACGTTCGCAGGAAATCATAACATCTATTCATTCTTTTTCTAGATGTGCTTCTTCGAAGA